TTCACCGTGTTGATGAGACATAGCAACATCTGTGAGCTGAGCAGGAGGGTGCAGGTGTTCCTAGCAGGCAGCAGATAGGAAATGCTGGGTACATTGCTCCCCTGTAGCATCTGAAGACTAAAATGTTAGGGGATGTAGAGGGAAATCAAAGATTTCCTTTGGATGATATCAGTGTTTTTTCATACATGCTGACGTAGGGAAATCTAGCTGTGTGTAATAGTTCAGCACTGTAATAGTCAGCTGCAGAAAGGTGTTTCCAATGAACTTGCACCTTCTGTGCATCAGTCAGAGGCCAGTGATGTGTGGAGCTCACTAGGCAGCAGAATAGGATGAATCTGAACCCTGCCTCTTGTTAAATTAGTACTTAGGCTTGTCATAAGTGGTACAGGATGGCTGTAGTCCCTTTTGCTTTTGTTTGGTAATGACAGGCCCTTCCTAGCTGCTTTTTTGCAGCAGTGGCCTGACTGTCTCCACTCTGTGTGGGTTGATTGCTCCGACAGAGAAAAAAGGGAGTGGGTGGGCAAGCGTAATCACAGCCTGTAAGGAGCTCGGGATCAGACCTGGAACAGGGAATCAGTTTGAACTCTGCTATTGATTTGCTGATGGTGCAGGTTGCCCCTCTCAACAATTAGCAAAGAAAAAGGTGGTTATTTTCTACAATGAGTTGGTGGTAGTGAAGCAAAAGGCTTGTTTGTTTGTTTGTTTGTTTTTAATAGTCAAAGCTAGAAGCATATATCGGGTACATCTGTTGTGTCAATTTTGATGGTAGGGAAATTGCCGTTTTGCTACAATGCCACAAAAGAAAAACAAGCTACTTCTGCAGTGAGTGGTAATTCCAATGCAGCAAACGCAAACGTGTGCTAAGGACTGCACATCTGTAGGAAGCTGCTGACAGTTGTTGCTGTTTTACTGCATGAGGCTGTTGTGTAAAACCTTGGACAATTCTCTAACATGCTGTATGCCAATAATGGGGTATTACTTCATTTCCCCCTTAGAGAATGTGGGAACTTAATTGTACAAGGCTTTTGGGGTTTTGACTATTCTCTGTATCATCTTCTATTTACAGTTTTTGTTAGCTCTTGTTTCAGGTTGGGCAATGGTGAGGCTGCTCTGGTTGTGGAATAGTGGTATTGTTAATTTGCCATCCTTGTGGCTAAGAGGGACAAGAAAGTTTTAAATTTAACTGACCTATCTGAATGGCAGTCCCGGGCCTTGCAAGTAGTAGATACAACTGTCTGTGTTTCAAAATGCTATGTGTAGCGTGGGAGCATGTGAATAAAAGCATTTTACAGACTTAGCATGCTCCTCCCGAGCATGTTGTCCAACATAAAAACAGATCAGGCTGTGAAAGATTGCTGAATAATATGTTTTCATTTTTCTGAGAATGGAAATGTGTTGAAAGTTTTCTCACTCCATTGAATTAATGCCTAGATAGGAGACCAAAGTGAGGAAGAACAGATCTGACAAATGGAGAGCAGGGAGATGTTCTGAAATGCTGCTGATGTTTGCTTTGGGGATAAGAAGGGTAAATGTGGGAGATGGCTTAAGTGGGTGTGGGAGAGATCAGGCAATGTTTGAGGAAGAATATGACTGGCAGACTGCAAGCGTTACAAGAATTTGGGGATTTTTGCTGAGCTATTTTGTTGCTATACTAATAATTTGCAGCTGCAATCTTTATACAACACTCGTTTTCCTTGATGTCAACAGAATGAGACGTCGCAGTCACAAGAGCAAGGTAGTAGGTAAATCGGGGGAGTACTGCTTATATTTTGAGGGTATTCTTTATTGAATTTCCAGTTTGAAATTACAGTAGAGTTCAAGTGGAGCCTCACAGCAGTACCTCCATGTACCTTCCCCTATTCAGCAGTCTTTGTTTGAAAATCACTAAAGGTGTCCTTGTTTTAAAGGACACAGCCCATTCTAGTTCTTTCCTGGAACCTAATTTCCTGTTTGCCAGTGTTTGCTCTCTCACCAGCACAGCTGTGGTTTCAATCCTTACTGATCTCTAATGCACTGGGAGCATGTTTTGGTCCCATTCCTCTCATACTTCTGGTTCTTGAAATGGTTCTTGAGAAACATTCATCTTTTTAAAGGTTCATGGATACAAGCATAGGTAGAAGCCGCTTACTTTTATGTCCCATTCAAATGGCAGTGATCACGCTGTCACCAGCACTGGTGGGAAAGGGTTTTCAGCTGCAAGGCATCCTTGAATGTATGGCAAATATAAATACTTGGACATGGATTTGGATTCAGTTTCTGAGCTTAGTGACATATTGCTAAAATCTTGACTAAAGTTTAGTCTTGCAAAGCAGCAAGAGTTTGATTTTTATTTTTATTTTTTTCTGGTAATGGCGTTTTTTTGGGTGTTTTTTTAACAGTTCCTTTTAAAATTGTTATTTGCTGTTTTGAAAATGCTGTATATATTAATCTAATAATACTTCTAAGAGATGAAATTCAATTACTGATTAAGTTACATATATTTGCTTAATGTATGAAACATGGTTGGCTTTTCTTAACAGTGTTTTTTTTCCCCACTTGTTACCTCAGATAGACCATCAAATTATCCCACAAGTTTGCTGGATTTCCCTTTGCTGTTTGCTGAGCCAGAGCAGGGATTATGATTGCGTTCATAGCACAAAGTGGGGGCTAACAACATTGTTATAGCAGAATACTCTTAAATCGTGCATCAGTGTATGAAACAGTCTTTAATGAATATTTTGCAATGGCTAAGCTATTGCAAGTATCAGTGTTAAATGAGGTGTCTAGGCATATTGTGAGCTACATTTCTAATATTTTCTAGTTTGCAAGTTAATGGAAATATTTCAACCATAGTATGATGTTAAATTATTGTGGAAAAAAGCAAGTTGAAAATTAACCTTTGACCATAAAATGGAACTTTTCAAATGTATTGGTAAATTAATATTTGTATACAACTTTCTGATCCAGCTTTTAGTAGTAGCTATAGCGCTTTAGTGCACCTCTTCTGCAGAATGTGCCTCTGAATTTTGGAATAAGTGAATGTTCTTGATGGGTTTGGCTGCTGTTGCTCTTGAAATTCCCAAGCAGTGATGCATGAAGTGTGGTAGGTGGTATGTAATTTCACAGTGGTAGATGAGGTATACTACTCAGAACTTAAATTTTAGGCTGACATTGCCCACATTAGGATTTTTATGTTGTCTCTTTTTTGTTTGTTTTTGGCTACAAACCCAATATTTAATAAGTTCCATACTTAAGAAGGAGCCTTCAAAATTTTTTTGAGCATTAGCTGGTGTATAGGAAGTAATTAGGTCATTGAAACAAGACTGGTAGTTTAAAGAAGGGGTCTTAATGGGATGCAGAAGTTGAAGATACCTCTGAAAAGATTTTGTGAATGCTTAAATTTTTTTTTTTTGTGAACTTTTAAGAATAGAAGTATCTTTCTCTACAAAAAATATTTGTCCAGTGTTTTTGTTTAAAATAAAAGCTCCCTTGTTTGTTTAGCAGAGTTGACTCAGCTTTGGTTGGTTACCATAGTTCAGCACTGTTTTTGCATTTCCATGTGAATTTCTAGTAATTCCCAGGCTTGGTTCAGGTTTGGGGGGTCTTGTTCTATCACTTCCATTAGCTGCCTGTGGAGCTGTGCTTCTCTTCGTTGAATTTGGAAAAACATCAAACACAACTTAAGTCTTGACCTCATATCTCTCAAATGCCACTCACTGCTCAAAAAATGAAATAACATGTAGTAAAGCGATGACTGTGGACAGAAGCAAGAGATAAAAAGCTTTGCTTGGTTAAAATTAGTTATGTGATGGGTAGCTACTATGGCAAGTTAAGGCTGAGTGTATGAGGTATTTTTAAGGTGCTTTGAGAAACAAGAACAAATATTTAGAATTAAAATAATTCTGCAGGGATAGGGGGAGACGGGACAGCCTGATAGCGTTTCATAGCTGGGAGGTTGCAGCTGACTGGTGAAGTTCTACTGTTGGTCTGTGTAGCTGTGCGGTGTCTGGTTCTTGGTTTTTGTTGTCAGCAAAGTTGTTCTCTCATCTGTGGTTCCCCGTTTGCAGGCCACCAGTGCTAACACAGCCATTTTTCAGTCTTGCAAAAGCTGAAAGCAGTAACTGTGTGCCTGGAGCTCTTGAGGAGCTTTGTTAATCCCTAGCCTTTGTATTGGGAGGATAAAAGGCTGGGAGGATCAAATAGGTGTTAAGTTTTGGCCTGACCTTGACTTCTTTGTCTGAATAACTTGGTGACTTTGATCCTGGTCGCCTGTTTAAGCCCAGCTTCCTTTTGCAGTCCAGTTATAGTGATGCAGAGTCTCCACTTGTCACTGGATTGTTGCTGCCCAACAAAAATGCTCCCTTAAGCAATAAAATTAAAAATGAATCCACAGCTTAATTGTCTCTGGTTAGGAAATGAAGTCATTTGGTAGCCTTGCATAACCAAGAGCAGTAGTGTACTGGAATATAGGCGCTTGTAGTGTACAGGGTTTATGAATTATGATAAAAGAGTGTGGTTTTTTTTGTCTCTGAGTGGGTTCACTTGGTTTCCATGTAAAACTTGATAGAGTTGAAGAAAAGCAAGTAAGGGTGAGAAAGAAATTCAGATTAGGGCATTGAGAAATTTAAACCCTAATTTGATAAACTGGAGATGTTGATGAAGCTCTTGATAAAACTTGGGTTTGTGTACACTTGAACACTGTAATGATGTAGTCCAAAAACTCTGGATATGGTGCCCACTGGAATCTTCATTCCTGTCTCTTGCAGTTTCATATTTAATGCATAACGGACTAGAAGGCATTGTTGACTCTTAGAAGTTAAAGTTTTGGAATTTTGTGTACTATCTGGGTAGACTAAATGACTTTGAGAACGTTCCTTGGAAAAATGGTTTCAAAGTAGTGTAATTCAACGGGTTTTTCACTTGTATTCCTCAAACAGTGTTACAGGATAATGCCTGTGAATAATTAGAATAATTTTGAGCTAACTTTGCTCTTTGTCTTTTTCTTGCTTCTTTCTTTGCAGGAGAAAATGGCCAAAATGGAGGTTAAGACGTCACTTTTAGATGACATGATAGGGGTGGGGGATATGGTTCTTTTAGAGCCGCTTAATGAAGATTCGTTCATCAATAATCTGAAAAAGCGCTTTGACCACAATGAAGTATATGTGAGTATACGTTAACAAATAGCATCCTGTGAGCAGCTATGTTGTAATTATTAAAATATGTGTTTGTTTATATGGATACACATAGACTGAATGTCTGAACATAATCTGTTATATTAGGGACATTTTTAACCTTTCTTTTGCTGCAGTCTTTTCTGTACTGTATTGTTTGCATTTGATCTTTTCTATCTAGGATATTTTTTCTTTTTCCCCTTGCACAATGTGGTGCATCTCTGATTTTCATAAAAACCAGCTCCAGAACTGGTGATGACAGTAACTTTGATAGTCCTATTGTCAGGGGACATCTCAGTTACAAATAATTCACTTTACAGGGAAGGCACTTCCATGATGTTAGAGCAGGTTGATGTTGAAACAATACATGTTTGGAATATGCTTGGGCTAGCTTATAAGTTGCCTGCTATCTTGGACTTGCAGAAAAAAATAGTGTTTATTAGAATGGTTGGACTTTAAAGTAGAAACAGTGATCTTGGCTATATGTGGAAGTAATCGAAATCTTCAGGCATATTAATCTAGGAGTGATGATAAGTAGGAGAGATGTTGTGAACTGATAGTTGAAACGCGGGCAGGGAATGAAGAGACAAACTAATTCCAGTGAAGCCTTTCATTTCCTGCTTCATCTTTGTTCCATTTTTGTTAAAATGTCCTCAGTATTGCATCTGTTGTACCGCTGAGGCTGTGAGAACTTGATGATTTGTAGACTTCTAAGACTGCTGGTGAAAGATAAGTCTTTTAAGAGTAAAGTTGAAATAGTTAAGCCAAAGCATAGCTACGATCTGCAAGTGCAGCTTACTACAATCAAATACATGTGCTCTGTACTTAATTATAACTTAGCCCTCCCCCCCCTTTAATTTTCAGTGTGTCTACATTTTTCCTTCATGTTAAGCATTTGAACCGTTGTGGCTTCATTCTACTTTTCCTTCTTCCAGTATGGGAGGACTGTCATTTTTATTTACTACTTCTGTCCCTTAGTTATAGTCTGTGCTTTTGTACTTTGCTATTCATGGTTTGCTGTGTCTTTCTGCTGGAGTAATGTTCCCTTTTCTGTAGGCATTAGCTTGGTAATGTGCAGTTAACCTCTGTCAGCTATTGTATCACCTCCACCTCCTTAAGTTTGGGCTGACAATTTAAAATAAGACAAGGACTCTCAGTATTCATTAAAACCTTGTTGGAGGAGAAACCAAAATGATCTGTATTTCTAAAGTTTGTTTCCATAATGGTTAAAAAACTAACACTGGTACCTGTGAGAGTTAGGTTTCCAAACATTTGTGTCTTAGATTTTCCTTGTGGCTTGAAGATGCGGTCTGGTCCCTCTTGATAACCCCTGGATGTTCATACAGGCAGGTAGATACCAGGGTTCCCTGCTGCTCTTTTGTCTTGCTTTTGGCAAGTCTTCCATCGTCAACAGTTGCAGTGGCTGCCTTCAGAGGGTTTTTTTAGTCAGTGGCTTGTGTGATTAACATGTTTCACATCAGTTTTAGGGTTAACTATATTCCTGATACCTACAGTAAAAGTGAGTGTTACTGAATCATCTCATTCACTTCAAGAAAATACGAAGGAGAAGAAAAGGAAAGGGAAGTATTTGCCCACAGATTGAAGAAGACAGTCTCTACCTTGCCCACTCTTTGGGTCATATTTGAAAGTTCTGTTTAAATCATTAAGGATGCAAACCTATTTTGTGAGGTAACACTAGACTACACAGTCTCTTAGAAATACTGCTGTAAGTCATGTGGGAGTGGATTTCTCATGGTGTTTTGTGTTTTTGTTTTGTTTTTTTTTTTTTTGGGGGGGGGTGTTTTGGTTTTTTCCCCACTGTAAATTACTATGAATTGGAAAGTATTTAATTACATGTTTCTATTTAATTTAGGCTGGATAGCTTTTTCTTGAAATAAATGTTTGAATGACAAATGGCTAATCTGTTTTATTTTTGTTATTGAGTGCTAGGCTGACAATCATGTTCAAACACACAGTTGTTTGAGGCAGTGACAGTGAAGCATGTTATTCCCCCCTGGTTCTGATTCAGCTGGGCCTGGCACTGGCATGCAGTGTAATTACCTGCATTATGTGCTTTGGCAGGTGATACAAGGTGTCACACTTCTTTTCCAATGTAGGATCCTCTGCCTTGCAGGTGGGAAAGCCTAGTACTTAAATGTGCTCTTTTGAGAGGTGTGAACTGTTGCCAGAACCCAGGGAGGTTTTTTTTTGTGGTATAGTTTTTGGTTAGTTTCTTTTTCTTTCTTTCCTAAATCGTTCTGGTGTAGTTGGTTGCACCATCATTTACCCTTTTTATCTCCAAGGTATTTTGATCAGGAGTTGTTTGTTCGTTTTTTTTTTTAAGGTCTTTCAAGTACTGTTTGTGAATCCACACTATGAAGGCAAAATATTGCAGATCTTTCCAAGCATGAAAACATTCACTACATCGGTGTTGGAAAGAGATGTTTATGTCTGTGCCACATCATGCTACCAGCTGTATGTTAGTTTGTGATCCTGCATGGTGTTATTTACTAAGTCACTTGAGGAACATTATCTCCTTTTCCTACCAGCTGAGTTCTGCTGCCCTACAAATTTCATGCCACTGTTGTGTATTGTAGAAGACTTTTTTAAAGTTGGAATGGTGCTCACAGTAACAACCACGTTAATTTTCAACTGCAAACTCTTCTCCTTATTGCAACCCACTCTCTTCTCCCCAGACTTCACCCATGAAAACTACACTTTCAATTTCTGTTTCTAGACTCAGATGAGCACAATAAAGCCTTTGTTCCATTTGGAAGTAACGTTTGTTTTACTGTGTAAAATCCATAGTTTCAATGCTGTCTTGGGGAAACCAGATTGGACTGTTAAAGTGCTACTGTTGGTGTGTAACAAAGACTGCAGATTTCTTCAGCTCTAACAATCTACATACACAAACTGACCTCTCAGGATGCTTTCCAAGGGCAGTAGGAATGGGTTTGTCTTTTTATGTCTCAGTTGTTGGGTTAAGTTCAGCTCTTATGTCAATGCTCTGTTGTAGGCATTGCCAAAAGTTGTGTCAAAGTTTAAAAAACTGCATCAAACTGAATCCATATGAATGGATTGAAATATTTCTGCAGCAGTAAACCAGGGCTTACTCAACATCAAATTCTAAGCAGTTTTCTGTAGACTGCCAGCTATATCTGTGCTACATATGTTAGTTTTAAAATGGAGTTGCAGTTATAACCTTCAAAAGGGTTTGTTGTGAGGAATGAGTTCTGTTAGCTTTGAAAATGCTGTAACATTGGGCAGACATTGCATAATTGTGTAGCCTGTCTTTATAGGTAAACCAACAAAAGGGGCTTATAAGAAAGATGGGGACAAACTTTTCAGTAGAGTGTGTTATGATAGGTAATGGTTTTAAACTAAAAGGGGTCGGATTTAGACTAGATAACAAGGAAGAAACTTTTACAATGAAGGTGGTAAAACACTGGAACAGGTTACCCAGAGAGGTGGTAGATGCCCCATCCCTGGAAACATTCAATGTCAGGTTGGACAGGGCTCTGTTAAAGATGGCCCTGGTCATTGCAAGGGGTTGTACTAGGTGACCTTTGAAGGTCCCTTCCAATCCAAACCATTCAATGAGATGTGAGAGTCAGATCGAGCCATCAGTGAACAGTGCCAAGTCTCTCCCTGTAGGCAAAGATGACAAGATAAATAGGCTTGTTCCACTGAAAGAAAATACAATTTTTGTCTTTTCCAGTCTCTTTCACAGTAGTAACGTTTGATGCTGGATGTTTGATATCGGAGATCCTAATGCCAGGTCCATTTACCCCTTTGAAATTCCAGATCTTCTCTGTAGGAGCTCCTTTTTGTGAGAGCATTGGGAGCTGGATCTCCTGGCAGCCCTCTTGTACCATCCTGGGTATGGTCACTGTAAACCCTTCAAGAAAAAATAGCAAAGTTTCATGCCATGGTGCAAACAGAGCAATGTTAGAGGACAGACTACAGCTTGGTTACCTGTTGTTCAACTTCATGTATATTTGGTGGAAAGTTTAATGGACTTGGGTGTTGGGTTGCATACCAGAGTGCAAAGCTGGAGGCTGTGCCTATAAAAATAAGCATAAAGGCTGGTGGAGTTGGAGCTAGGCCAAATACTCTACTAAAGACCATCAGATTCTGCAGTAATCTCATACTGAGTGGCTTTGGGGGGCAGGGCTCATTGAGTAACACACGTGTTAATTGGAAGTGGGAATCTTGGAGTTTAGTCATGTCTGGAAATGTGTGGGGTATGTCTGACCAAGAAAAATCTCATTAGAAAGCTGTGATTGTTTATTATATTCTTTTTGCAACTCTTAAACTTTTCATTGATGAAATCTGCATCACTTCTTCACAGAAGTTCTGTAAATATCACTTACAAAAGCGTGAGAGCTCTTCTGTAACTTTACAAAGCAAAAAGTGGCTCACGGGCAATGCAGTTAGCAAGCAGAAAACACCCACAATGCTGATTATTTGAAGGTTCCAGGGAGCAGTTTGCGCGGTTAAAATGCGTGACCCAGAGACCGCATGGAAAACTTCAAATACATTCATAAAATGCAGTTTGTGTGTGACCGATGAATTTTGACTCGTTCTGTTGAACTCCCTCCCTGAACTTTTTTGTTTTTAAAATTATTTATTTTTTTTTTTTTTAGGTTGGCAGAAATATGATGAGCCAATCCGGCTCAGCAGCTATTTCTCATTTGTATTTTGGGATGCTGACAAATGGGAGGGGGGGCATCTGTGTCTATACATGTATTTACAGTGACTCATGAATGGTAGAGTTTCGGGATAAACTGTAGTACATGTATCAGTCTGAAGCTCATTTTGGTGTTGGGTTTGTTGCTTTGTGAGGCGTGTGGAAGCAGCAAGGGAGGCGGTGAGGAGTCTGGAGGGAAGCAGAGCTGCGTAGGCTCATGGGAATCAGCCTTTGAAGGCCAGATACAGCTTTATTCTGCTGCCCTGCACATTTTTTCCCTGAAGTTATGTTGTTTCTTGAA